CTCCCACGCAGACTCTAACGCCCACAAACCGCGAAAAACTGTGGCGCCTATAATATTATTGTAAATGCCTTTGACCTTATATAACTTATTTCTGTTAATATCTATCGATTTACCAAAGATTTTTTAAATCGGACCATTTTTTGCTATTTATGAAGAAATTTAAGTTATAAGGCCTGACATGGGCAGTGACGTCACTCTTAGTTACTCAACAGTAACGGGTATCTTATAGTCGCGGCACTCGACTATAGCGTTTCCTCTTATTTTAATCTTGAAAATGCTTCTTCTTCCATATAAAAGATAATATAAATGCCTGGCGAGAGGTACAACCGATGCAATGTGTCCAATGTTACCACGCATTTTATTCACTTTCTTCATTAGAGATGAAAAACAAATTAATATTACTGTGACACCACTAACGGACGATAACGATGAAAAATTATTTAAAATAAATGATAATACGACATACTTATGAATATAACATTACATAAAATATCAACCCGTTCGCATATTAAAATTGAATTTGTGAATTTAATTAGTTTTGTTCGCATTGCCTGGGAACCCCTCCCACAATGACCCTTTGCTAATCTGTACACAAGAGACACAACTTTACATGGTGGCCCATGAGGGGTCCCGCAATGTTAATTCGTTTGTCATCTCTAACAAAGAAAGAGAATAAAATGCGAATATAATATAATGCGTAGTTTGGCAATCCTTCTATTCTGTCCTTCATTATTTTCTATATGTGATATCGCGCGCCCAGCAGAGTTCTCTGTTCTGCGTAGCCTTAGTGGATGGTAATAGTGTATAACCGAGAAGGCGTTAGAACAACGCGAGTTGAGACGATATGAGTTTATTGATCGCTGGTTGTGAAATTAAGGATTAGGGTTCGACAGCTGAAGCGAAGTCGTGTTAGACAAAAAGATGTCGCAGCCAATGAAGCGCAAGGCCCGTGATATTGATATGGAGTCAATCGAGGAGAATACTGAAATCCCGACATCAGAAGTAAGATCTCTTCCACCACAAACCGATTCTGATAATCGTTTGTGCACGCGTTTGGAATAGTTGCATCGCAATTTACTCGAAGTTTGTACGGTTCCGTCAGCCGGAGACCGCTTTCCCGCCCGTTTTCCTAGTGGCCGGGATTGGGGAGAATAATTGGGAGCCGAATGGTTCTTGTAATGTTCCTGGCATTTTATTTACAAAGTCTTTCCTAAGTTCTAAAACCTATCTCTACGTTATTTTCCTACCCCCGCGCACCGCTGGCATCCCACGGTTGGGGATTGGCCCTTGGCCGGCTCACCCATTTTACTCCTCAGTGGATGACTCCATGTCCGCCGGCCACGTGTTTTTCCTGGGGTCGTCTAGCTGCTCCACCTTTTCCGTGATTTACGACTTTTCTCGTTCAACTCTCAAAGCCGACTCCCTGATCGGCGGGCAGCGGGAGCTGCTCGGGCCCCTTCTCTGCTGTTGATCGCGGCAGCCCTTTCGCTGTCTTCGTGCGATCTGTCGTTGTCCCCTTCTCTGCGCCGGCGTCACTTGGTGTGATCGTGCGCGTTGGTTGGCTCTGCCGGTGTGATGTTGGCTCCGCCGGTGTGATGTTGGCTCCGCCGGTTGTGATGTTGGCTCTGCCGGTAGTGATGTTGGCTGCCGGTTGTGTTTGCGCTGTGAGCGCGATGTCTGGCGGTGAAGCCTAACGGGCTTCTGTTACATCTTACCTATGTATGTACAAGTGCCCTTTGTGGGTCTTGACTAACGTAAGTCTAATTGCACTCCGTGGGTCTAAATTAACCTAAATCCTAGCTTACGGACTACTCTTAATTAAATGTCTCTATACCTGGGGGGCGGCGGGGCCGCGTGACGGTTACCCCACAAGTTATAAATGCCGTTAGAAGCGCACATAATTTTAAGCGAATATCGTGTAAGAGTAACGAGTACAACACCAATTTTTTTTCAAACAAGAAGAAATGCTATATCCGAGTGCCGCGACTTTAACATAGCCCTTATTGTTTTACACAAAATTAAAGTATTCATTTTGCCAGTAGAAATTGACAAGCACCACCGTTTGTCAAAAAAGCTTATTTACTAACTGATGGTGACGTCACTGATTATGTGAGACCTTATAACCCACATTTCTTCATTAATAATGTTCCGATTTGGAAAATCGTTGGTAAATAGATAGATTTTGACAAAAAACAGTTCAAACAGTATAATATTATGGACGCCACAGATCTTCGCTGTTTGTTTGCGTTAGAGTGGGCATGGCCGGATAAAAGCTCACGTCGATCTGCAATGGCATCTCTTAAATACTTATTCCTAAGCCTAACTTTCTAGCTCTTATGGTTCCCGAGATTTTAGCGATTTTAGGCGTGAGTAGACGGGAAAAAAACATACCGAATTCCACAGTTCTACAAAAGGCGAAAACGGTCTTTCGAGCTTGGTGGGCGTCCGAGTGGTCTTGGGCGGATAATGGTACCACCATAAGATGCCCTGACATCTCAAGATTATAAATTGTTGGGCCAAGCATACACTGATGAGCAGCGGTGTGTTCAACAATAGTTTCTATTTCGTTTTGGTTCTCCCAGCTTCGCATTCGCTTTACTGTTATTTAGTAGCGCAAGCGATTAAATTACATAATGGAGTCTGGTGCTGAAGACACTGGATGTGCTGCTCCAAGCAGGGAGCGGATGCCGCGGAGACGAGCAGAAGTGACCTGTCAAAAAATGGAGGACCTGCATCAGGAGGTCAAGTCTGCGATGCGGATCGAAGACTCAACCATTATGACCCTCAAGTCAATCGAGAAGGGTCCGCGCGATCGATTCGCCCCGATTCAGGAGGAATTTGAGGAGCTAAATTACAGAGAAATAGTAAGTGATTGATATTAGAAATTCTCTCAGCTGCGCATGAACGTGCACGTCGACATCCAGCGGGAAGCTGCCAAGCGCTCCAGGAGAGTTGATGTCCACTCTACGCTTTTGGATGGTACCACTGGCGTTGATATTTCACTCACTCCATAAAGACCTGCTGCGTCATTGACCCCGTTCCCGATGCCAACATTCAGGACTGGCTATGTCGAGTGGACGGATATCTACGCCCTGTTTAGGACGACGGTTGACAGCCATCCTCAGTTGACCAAGATGGAGAAGATCAGGTTCCTCATATCATGTCTGCGGGAGTCAGCCTTAAAGACTGTAAGAGCGCTGGAGATTTCTTACGCAACGTACACTGTTGCCCTTGATCTTTTGCGCAACCATTTTAGTAGTCGACGGTTAACAGTCCAGGCTCACATCACCGAGGTCCTGCAGCTAAGGGTAGTCAAACTGGGATTCAATTATTCGGGAGTTATCAGACCGATTCAACGGTCATATGCGGCACGCTGAAGCAGTGTTCTTACCAACCGCCAACATTCTCGTTTGTGCTCGATTAGGAGACTGATTCGCTGATGCGCTGATTCCGGCTCAAAAGTTTATCTCATCCCATCACTGCTGGCCAGCCAACTGGAGCGGTACCTGACCTTGGAGACGCTGAATTCACTACGGATGTCCATGTATTCGGTATACATTGAGGTAGTTGTGGCGTCTTACTTCGCGGAGAGTCAACCTTGTCTGAACATAGATGTCTCCAAATAGAAGGATCCTGCCAATGTGGTTCTGGCAGATCCGAACTTCCGTAGAACGCAGCGTGTGAATTTGTTGTTTGGAGCCAGTCTGTTTTTTGATCTGCTCTAAGTTGGGCAAATTCAGCTAAGAGATGGTATGCCTCTTATGCAGAATACGCGTCTTGGATGGATAGTTTTTGGGAGTTACATCCCTAATCTTCGTAATCATCTTGTGGATGATACGGCCAGGGGTAAAGCCGGTGGTGAGATCTATAGCAAGAGTCTGTGGGAGGAAAATGAGGAGCTGAAGAAGCATCTGGAGAAGAAAAACAAGGAGTGCAGCACTGCTGAGGAAAATGCTTGCATGTACGTGCCAATGAGGTGAGCGACAAATTCAACCTGGCCAACGCCAATCGGAAGAAGATTACTAATGAACTGAACTATATATGTGTCCTAGGACACTCTGCTCAAGCAGCTCGAGAACACGCGCAAGACTCTAGAGCAGGAGACACTGTCGCGCGTTGACCTGGAAAATACCATTTAGAGCCTTCGTGAGAGGCCGTCATTCATGGATCAGATCCGCTCATAGGAGATCAATGAGTCGCGCATCATTCCCCAGAAAAGATAAAGCGAAATTAACGGACGCCTCAGCTCCACGTATGATGCTAGTTTGAAGCAGAAGCTACAGGAGGCTGTACAAGGTTAAAATCCGTCGTCTGCAAGAGGCCGCTGCACGCACATCCAATTCTACGCACAAGTCTATCGAAGAGTTTCACTTGTCTCGTGTTAGTATTTACGGTCTAAATGCCAAGATTCGTAAATTGGAGCAGGAACTCAATAACACTAGCGAGCGTTACGGCCCAGATGAGGATTAGCTCGATAAGGATTTTATTCGACTGCGCGAAATGATAGGTAAACTGCTGGAATTCCAGAACCTCATGGACATCAAGGTCTCACTGAATTTGGAAATCGTTACCCACGACAAGCTGCTGCACGGCGAGGAGGCGCGACGCCACCACGGCCACGTCCTCTTCCACTGCACTTTCTCTGCCTGTCAGCCAGTGCCAGTCCACTTAAAGCAGCTTTTGTAGAACTGCTGCAAACTAGATCAGAGCTTTTGTTGTTAAGTTTCTTCTTATATTTTCAGCGTGGTTTTTTGTGCGACTGTTGATTTGGTTATAATATGAACTCGTAATAAAATTGGAAATTTGAATGCCTTGCAATTTAAAATTCTTAATCGAAATTCGTAATAGTTTCGGGTGTTCAAGCGATTTTAGTTTTCCGTGAATCGTGGGCGTTAGAGAAGGAGGTAGGATGCTGAAATAATCTTGCGTTCCTTAGGGACCTCAAACTTTGTATCTTTTATAGTTCCTGAGAGCTCATCATTAATAGACGCTTATAGGCGTTATAAAGACGGACATTTCTCAGTCGACATCGCTATTGATCATGATCAAGAATATTTATACTTTATAAAAAAAGAATCCTTCTACGTATTACATGCTTTTCAGCAAATGTAATATACCCTTTTACTCTACGAGTAACGGGTATTGTTTTATATTTTAATAATTGCTTATAAGTCAAATAGTGGTGATGAAAAAATAACTTCAAGACGATTTCGTAATATATATTATTATTCAAAAATTTATAATTTATACCTCGGCAAAGCAAATATTATTATTAAAGAAAGATAGAAGAAAGAATAATTTATACCTTGGTAAAGCCAATCAGATACACCATTATATATTTGGTTTTCAGATCCCGATGACGTTATTCTTATATCCGTATCCGTTAAAGGTGTTTGTCGGATAAATATATCGTTTTGAACGACATATATTATTGCAGACGTATTGCCAAGCCATGTTGCATATTGAATACGAGTTCTTTCTATATTAATGGAGTCTTTTAATTTTACGGGGATGTGGTGGTCATTTTTCACATCATATATAGTATAAAACGCAGTAAACGACTTCTGAAAATTCTAAGAAATGGGGGTTTTTTAATTATGTGTTTAGGAATATATTTAAACTTACTTTTTTTACATTGTGCTTAAATAAAACATATTTAAGGTCGTGTGAGCATAGATATCCTTGAACATTTAATTGACGAAGAGTGTGGTTAGTTACCAATACGCTTATTAAGTTGGCAGCTGTGTCTAAGATATCCAGCCCTCCCTCATCTGATTGAAACACAAATTTTTGAGTAGTTACCCAAGACGGTGGTAACCTTCTTGGCGTCAAATCTCCTTGTAAGTACTCATTCAAAATCATTCTACGACCAGACCAATATAAAAGTTCATCAACATATCTGAAATCGACCAAAATATAATTAGTTCCTTAAAAGACTGGGAGAAACGATGTGGTCAAAACTAATTATTTACATTAATTTTACTACCACCAATTTTTTTCAGAAAAAATCTTGATTAACAACTGGCAGTGACGTTAAAAAAAGGAATTAAAATGATTACAAAAAAAGCTCTTTAAAGAAATGCAAGCCTAATTTATTATTATCAAAAACTAGTGATGTACAGGGGGCGCTATCATTTGTGGGCCGATTTAAGAAATGAATATTTTTCTTAAATATCGACCGATTAGCTTGATCAGACATATTTAACCTTGGATACACGCATAAACAACACGCTGAAATGGTGCAAATGTATACTGAAAACAAGAGGACACGCTATAGTCGAGTGCCGCGAGTATAAGATACCCGTTACTGTTTTAAAAAATTTAAAATATTCATTTCCCTAGTGGAAATTCCCCAAGCGCCACCTATTGTCGGAGAAAACATGTTAAGTAACTGATAGTGACGTCACTGCCCATGTGAGGCCTTATAACCTTAGTTTATTCATAAATAGCGAAATAATGTTCCGATTTAAAAATATCTTTGGTAAATCGATAGATAGTAACAGAAATAAGTTACACAAGGTAAAACGAAGGCATTCATAATAATATAATAGACGCCACAGTTTGTGGGCGTAAGAGTGGGTGAGGCCTAATAGAACTTCGTGGCAAGTTGCAGAGGCATTAATTTCTTCATAAATAGCGAAAAAATGTTCCGATTTAAAAAATCTTTGGTAAATCGATAGATAATAACAGAAATAAGATATACAAGGTCAAACGAAAGCATTTATAATAATATTATAGACGCCAAACGCGGTTTGTGGGCGTTAGAGTGGGCGTGGCCGGATGCAACTTCGTGCCAAGTCAAGTTGCAGAGACATACGTATATAAATACGTATTCTTAAGCAAAATTCTGTAGCTCTTATAGCTTTCGAGATTTTTTCATTTTTGGTTCTTCGTGTTTTGTCGGCGTTAGAGTGGGCGTGGCTTGATCGGAAAAAACCATTCGCATTGGGAGGATCATAAAAACCTACACGCTTAATCCGAAATTTCTATCTCTTATAGTTACCGAGATATGAGTTTTTCTAGAAAATGCGAAAACCGAATTAGGCGCTTGGTGGGTTACAGGGTCGGAAACGCTACCTTCAAGAATCTTCATGGTTAATCTCAACTTTGTATCTTCTATAGTTCCTGAGATATCAGGTTCATACGGACAGACGGACAGACGGCCAGACAGACGGACATGGCTCATTCGTCTTCGCTATTCATCCTGATCAAGAATATATATATATATATATATATATATATCCTTTTACTCTACGAGTAACGGGTGTAATAACAAGTCAATTGTGTTAGCTCAACGGGCATATAGTCGAAAATATCCTCGCCAAAAAAGACTCTGTTGAGCAACTAAGAGTTTTTAGCTGCTTTAGAATAAAAACATTTTTTTTTTTTTGACTTTGCTATTTATTTTATTGAATCTTCTTCCTTTGAAGACTAACAATAAGTGTATCAAATCGTAAACCTAATTAATCTAACTAACAGTCATATAACTGAAATTGTGCTATAGGGGGCCCGAAAGTTATTGCTGGCTTTGCAGGTCGTTGCGTTGTAGACGGGAGCGGCTGGAAACCCAAGTCAGGCTTCTTGCGAGGCGATTGGGGTGCATAGAGAGTTTTTAATTGTAGGACGCTTTTTGCTTGTCTATTTCATCTTTTACGGTAAGAATGCCTATGTCCATATGGGTGTTTTGATTGCGAATATACCATGGTGCCCCAGTGATAATTCGGAGGGTTTTTGATTGGACGCGATGTATAATATCTATACTCGTTCTGCTGGCGTTCCCCCATAGCTGGGAGCCATAAGTCCAGATGGGCTTGAGGGTAGAGTTGTAGAGCAAGACCTTGTATTCCAGACGCAGGGGTGAACGGGCGTTAAGAATCCAGTGGAGGCTGTTGGCTTTCAGTTTTAGATGTTCTTTTTTGCATTGGATGTCTCTTCTCCAGTTTAGTCGTCTGTCAAGTGGACGCCGAGGTACGTTACATCGTTAACTTGGGGAATCTACGTGTTATTCAATGATAGTGGAGGGCATTTTTGTTAATTTATTTTAATCCGCCAATCAGATAGCCACCTCTCTACTACGAGGAGGTGATTTGCTAGCTGTGTGGTGGCTCGGCCTGGGCACCCGGAGCGACTTCGAATTGCGGTATCGTCAGCGAACGTAGATGTTGTTAGCTGCTCATTCGTAGGAATATCCGATGTATATAGGAGGAACAGAGTACTCCAGCTTTGATAATGTTGTCGCCGGATGTTGCTGTGTTTCACCTTACTGCGAAGGTTCTGTTGTATAGATACGACTCAAGAAGCTTATGAGTGTATCCAGGCAAGTTTGTTTTAATTTTGTGCATGAGACCATCTAACCATACTCGATCAAAGGCTTGACATACATCGAGGAATATTGCGCTGCAGTATTTCCGATGCTCAAAGGGTGTGCGAATTTCTGTTGTTCTTCTGTTTACTTCTTCAATTGTGGTTTTGACGGAACCCAAATTGATGAGCAGGGATAACATTGTGTGCTTCTAGATATGGTATTATACGCGTTAGAAGACATTTTTCGAATAACTTAGACAAACACGATAATAGACTGATTGGTCTGTAGGATGACGAAATTGTATGGTATTTCCGGGCTTCGGTATCATAATGACAATAGATTATTTCCATTTTTTTGGATAGTAGCCGAGTGTCAGATAAATTTCTTATTGGCGTGACTGTTTCGATAGGGGGCTCCGATTCGGATGAGCCCTCCACAGAGGATGTTTCCTACTGGTTGGCGAAAGTTTTTTAATATACCGCTGGTGTGCCTTTTCTGCGTCTTGCTTTAGAGCTCGATTTAGTAAGCGAGTGGCTTTATTAAGACATTGTTTTGATGACGTCGATCTGTTGGTTTGCCAGGCACGTCGCAGGCTCCTCATTTCTAGGATGTCCGCTGCGATGTTAAATTGAGGGTTTATTTTGATGTGTGAGCATACATACTTTTTATATTTTAACCAGTTGGTTCTGTGCGACGTCAACCTGTGGGGGTCATCTGTAGATTTTTTGCTTTGAAGCAGAGTTATTTTCACTGGCGAATGGTCTGACGGCAGGTCCGAAAGTACTCTGGCGCTTATAAAATTGCGTGGAATGTTTTTGGTCACCGCAAAGTCTATTAGATCTGGGACTTTCCTGGGGTCTGTTGGCCAGTAAGTGGGGCTGCCAGGGGAAACGAAGTCTAATTTGTTGTTCGGTTTTATGATTGCATTGCATAATTGCCTTCCTTTGGGAGTCACAAGGCGTGATCCGCAGTGCGTGTGTTTGGCATTATGGCCCCTGCGGCTATAAAACGATCTCCAAGCAGGTTATAGAAGTCCTTCAGAAATTGTAAAGCGAGGAGGGCAGTAGACAGCGGCTATGCTGAGGTGTTCGTTGCCTGACTGCACTTGAATAAAGTTGGCTTGCAAATACTTAGTTGCAAAACTTCGGTGAAAGTGGTGCCTGATGCGTTCCCTGATTAGGATGCCGGCTCTGCCGTGGGCCTTACCATCTGGATGATCTGTGCGGTAAAGAGTGTATCCTCTTACTTGGAAGTTGTATTTGTTTGTGTGGTGCGTCTCTTCCAGTAGCATAATGTCGATATGGTTATCATTCAGAAACAGTGTTACTTCATGGTTGTGCACGCCATTGGCGTTCCACATCGTTATTCGCAGACTTGCCATCTGTTATTTGGACTGCTTAGCTACAAGTAGCTGTAGCACCATGTTCTGGTTATGAACCAGTGTTTGCATGGTAGTTTTCATGAATGACATGAATTCCATCATACTTTGTTGCATGGTGATCATCATAGATTCCAGAGAGCCTTGCGACTGAAGTTGGGTCTGCTGAGCGTTTCCTAGATTAGGCTGGAGAGGGTTTTCCGTCCCTGATCGAAGGGCATCGGCGTATGAGCAGCCCTTCTGGGTATTTAGTTCACCCTGTGAGGATTTGCAGCCGTGTCGGAAAATACTTCCGGCTTCGTACGCGGGTAATTGTACACATTTTGGGTATTCTGACGCGTTGCTGTCACTTTACACATTCGGTCCTTTATCTCCTTGTTGATCGGGCAGCCTCTGTAGTTTGCCCTGTGGTTACCTTGGCAGTTGACGCATTTTTTCTTCTTGGGGTCTTCTTTGTTGGCAGGGCAGTTGGCCGAATTGAGGAAGTCTCCACAAGCTACGCTGACTGTTCGAAGTGAACAGTAAAACCTAGTGTGTCCATACTCCTGACAATTTGTGCATTGCACTGGGCCGTTTTTTTTCTGTGGCTCTTCCACGGTAATTCTTCGGTGCAATAAGTATTGCAGATTATAAATGGAATGCACTTCATTTTTCTTCAGGACTTTGCTGTCTGGCTCGAGCTCGACCCTGAAGCGTGGTTGCGGCTCTTTTTTCCTGTTCACGATATTACTAACTTTTTTGCAGAGAACCCTTTTTCTTTAGAGCATCGATAACTTCCTTGGCGGTTACGTCGGGCTCGATTCCTTTTATTACCACTTGCAAGCCCTTGCTGCTTTTAAGTTGGTACGTGTAGTATCTTTTCCTAGCTTCCTCCAGGTATTTGGATACAGCTCGAAACTGTTCTTCAGATTTGGTCTGAAGCTTGGTTTCATGGATATCCCCTTTTGTGACCGGAACAACATGAAAGTTTCCGTCCCCAGTCAGCGCAACAATTTTGTTTACCAGGGCGTTCGCAATTTTCTCCCTAATGTAAATTGGTGAGGCTTACGTTTCTGTTGGGTCTCCTGAGCCCGTTCTGGTTCATTTTCTGCTAGGAGCGCAAATCTATTTCTGTTAGAATTCCCGGGTATTTTATTTTCAGTTTGGACACGGTTTATTTTTGACTTGTTGCATACGGTGTTATTATGCGGGCTGAGCTTACGCTTGATATGAATGTACCGATCAAGTCCGGTCTGTATGGCCGAACCCGCTTGCTGAGTTTTGTTTTAATTTTGGTTAGTTGACGAAGTTTTTGTTGCCTTTGTAACTGAAGTAATAGCAGTAGCTGTGGTTGTTGTTGGTTCAGCTTGCGATGAGAGAATTGGCTGGAAAGCCGACGACATCGTAGACGCAGTTGTTGTTGTATTTGCAGAAACGGTAGTTACCGATGACACTGTAGAAGAGATTGCCCAAGCTGCCGTCAGTGCATCGATCGGGGAGAGGGGGGAAGGGCATTGAGAGCTCCAAGACTGAGTAACGGCAACGCTGCTTGGGGTTAGGAGTCGGGGCGACAGAGAGCGGACGTCTTCGGTTGCGGTCAAAGACATTGCACTACATTTTGGCTCCGGAGAGACATACGAAAAGTACGCGTTGTTTCGAGCAACAGAGAGTCGGCGCTCGTCTTGCTGCTGTTGTTGTCTTTCGCGGCTTTGAGTCGTCGTCAATACATTGATGCAGTTCAATTTACAAACTTTTATTTTGAGTTCAAATCAAACCAAATTAACTCGGCAACAAAACCACGCCGAATGCAAAAAAGTACAGCTTAACAGCAAAGCTTCTAGCTACAGCAGTTCTACAAAGATCCCAAAAGCGTATGCGCTGCAAAGTAACAGTAAAGCGCAGGCGAAACTGAGATAGTCAAAACAAACTAGAAACTGCTCATTCGCCTCTGCTTTGGCTGCTTGGCCCAACGTCCTCCCCCCGTTGAAGGCTGGCCCTTCAACAAAGTCCTTGAGGGGTAGCAGACACAGCAAACACACCGCCCGCCTTGTCCTTCCAACACGTGTCTTTAGTACGGCATCAAGGTTCAGTTGATCTCTTCCCCTCGTTGATCAAAACGCTGCAGTTGCCCTTATTCTTCCCTTATGCTTCACGATCTTGCCTTCGATCTCCTTTTGCTCCACATTGCCTTTAGAAATAGCTGACACATAGTAGTCGTTGTCATAGGCAGCGATTTCCAAGTCCAGTGAGCCCTTGATATCCGGGTACTCCTGCAGTTGATGGGTCATCTCTTCGCGCAGTCGAAGTCTCGAGCTGAGCACCCCCTTGGCCGTAAAGATCGCGAGTGGTATCTAGTTCCTGCTCCAATACACGTACGAGCTCAAAATCGGGAGTCATGGCATTCAGACCATCAATTCGAACACGGGTCGTGCGCAACTCTCCGGTGGACTTGTGCGTAGAGTTGGATATGCGTGCAGCGGCCTCTTGCAGACGACAGATGTCCTATGAGTGGATTTGATCCTTGAACGACAGCTCCTCACGCAGGCTCTGAATGGTATTTTTTAAGTCAAAACACGACAATGTCTCCTGTTCTAGAGCCATGTGCGTGTCCTCGAACTGCTGGCGCAGACGATCCAACTCCTTGGTCATAGCAATGAGTTCATCAGTGATCTTCTTCCGATCGGCATTGGCCAGCTCATTTAATACAAGCGGCCATTCCCCTCAGCAGTGCTGCACTCATTGGTTTTCTTGTCTAGAAGATTCTTTTGCTTCTTGTTTGATTACTGAAACGGTTGCGAAAAATATCAAGGGCATCATCATAATTCGCGTCAGTAATCTCCAACGCTCTCACAGTCTCCAAGGCTGACTCCCGCAGACATGATATGAGACACCTGTTCTTCCCCATCTTGATCAACTGAGGATGGCTGTCAATCGTCCTAAACAGGGCGTATATATCCGTCTACTCGACATAGACAGTGCTGAATGTTGGCATCGGCAACGGGGTCAATGACGCAGCAGGTCTGTATGGAGTGAGTGAAATATCAACGCCAGTGGTACCATCCAAAAGCGTAGAGTGGGCATCAACTCTCCTGGAGCGCTTGGCAGCTTCCCGCTGGATGTCGACGTGCACGTTCATGCGCAGCTGAGAGAATTTCCAATATTAATCACTTACTATCGCTGTAATTTAGCTCCTCAAATTCCTCCTGAAGCGTGGCGAATCGATCGCGCGGATCTCGATTGCCTTGAGGGTCTTCGGTCCGCATCGCAGACTTGACATTCTGATGCAGGACCTCCATTTTTTGACAAGTCACTTCTGCTCGTCTCCGCGGCATCCGATCCCTGCTTGGAGCAGCACATCCAGCGTCTTCAGCTCCAGACTCCATTATGTAATTTAATTGTACAGTTATTACAACAAAAACTACAATATTCCGTGAAACTTTTAAACTAATCAAAATAATAGAAACGGGGTGCAATCACATAGACGTTACAAAAATTTTACGCACTTAAAAGTTTTTAATTGCGGCCGAATAAATAAAACGAGGCACCTCAATTTCAAATTTTATTACGAGTTTAAATTAAAACCTAATCAGCAGCCACTCAAATAATAACGTCGAAGATACAAGAAGAATTTTAACAACAAAAGCTTTGATCTAGTAAGCAGCAGTACTGCAAATGCTCCCAAAAGCGCATGCGTTACAAAATAACAGTAAAGCGAATGCGAAGCTGGGAGAACCAAAACGAAATAGAAACTATTGTTGAACACACCGCTGCTCATCAGTGTATGCTTGGCCCAACAATTTATAATCTTGAGATGTCAGGGCATCTTATGGTGGTACCATTATCCGCCCAAGACCATTCGTACGCCCACCAAGCTCGAAAGACCGTTTTCGCCTTTTGTAGAACTGTGGAATTCGGTATGTTTTTTTCCCGTCTACTCACGCCTAAAATCGCCTATTATACTGTTTAAACTTGTGTAACATTTTTTGTCAAAATCTATCTATTTACCAACGATTTTCCAAATCGGAACATTTTTAATGAAGAAATGTGGGTTCTAAGGTCTCACATAATCAGTGACGTCACCATCAGTTAGTAAATAAGCTTTTTTGACAAACGGTGGGGCTTTGTCAATTTCCACTGGCAAAATTAATACTTTAATTTTGTGTAAAACAGTAAAGGATATGTTAAAGTCGCGGCACTCGGATATAGCATTTCTTCTTGTTTGAAAAGAAATTGGTGTTGTACTCGTTACTCTTACACGATATTCGCTTAAAATTATGTGCGCTATATAACTTGTGAAGTACCCTCACGCGGCCCCTCCGCCCCCCAGGTATAGAGACATTTAGTTAAGAGTAGTCCGTAAGCTAGGACTTAGGTTAATTTAGACCCACGGAGGGCAATTAGACCTACGTTAGTCAAGACCCACAAAGGGCACTTGTACATACATAGCTAAGATGTAACAGAAGCCCGTTAGGCTTCACCGCCAGACAACATCGCACCCGCGGCGGAGCCAACATCACAGCGGCAGAGCCAACATCACATCGGCGGAGCCAACTAACGAGCACGATTACACCACGTGACGCCGGAGCAGTAAAGCTAGAGAGAAAAGGACGACGACAGATCGCACGAAGACAGCGAAAGGGGCGCTGACGCGATCAACAGCAGAGAAGGGGCCTTAGCAGGTTCCAGGTTCATTATGGTTCAGTCTTTGGTCAGCATCGCAGCATTGATGTTCTGATGCAGGGCCTCCATTACATTAAAGGTCACTTCTGCTCGTCTCCGCTGCATCCTCTCCCTGCTTGCAGTTGCAGATCCAGCGGCGTCAGCTCCAGACTCCATTATGTAATTTGTATGTAAACAACAAGTTTCTGTGGCACTTTTTAACTTATTACAATATTCAAAACCGCGCTATAATCACGTCGTCACTAAAATGTTAAGCAACTAAGAGTTTTGAGTTGCTTTGGAATAATTTTCAGTTCAATTTACAAATTTTTATTAATGCAAAA